GGCTAAAGCCGTGAGGGGTAACTGTAACCTTGTGTACTCAAAGAGCACAGAGAAAAGAAACCAAGTGTCCGACTCAGAAGGAAAAGAATAACAAACGTGAGGAGACTGGGGAGGTCAGAGGGAATTAACAAAGTCAAAGTGGACATTGATGAACTAGAAAACAAAACTCATAAAACGAATAAAGGAATCCAATCATAAACTGCCGTATAATCTAATCAAGAGAGGGGAGGAGAGAACGAATACAAAAAAGAGGAAAAGCCACAGAGAAAATGAGGAGATTACTAACTCAGCTCTGCAAGTTGACTTAAAACCTCAATGACTAGGATAATTTTCTAAAGAAATATAACAAAATATACTCCAGAAGAAACAGAAAATCTATACAGCTCAATACCACAGAATACAGAAAGTTGTCAAACAGCAACAGTCCCCAAACACACCAGGTTTCAAAGGTACAGGGGGAGTCTACCAAATCTTTTTTGTAAAGACTTTATTATTTATTTATTTAAAATTTGTAAGGGGGAGGAGAGGGAGGGAGAAAATCTTAAGCAGGTTCCATGCCCAGGGCCACAGCCTGAGGTGGGGATCGATCTCAGGACCCTGGGACTGTGACTTGAGCCAAAAGCAAGAATCCGACTGTCAACCAACTGAGCCACCCAGGCACCCCACTACCAGACCTCTAAAGAACACAGTATTTGAAAGATAAACTGGTGGTAATACAGAAAAAAAGAAGTCTTCTGAAACAAGCAATGGCACCTGACAAGAAAATCTGAGAGACTGCACACAGACAAACAGCATGTGGACATCCAGACAATGAACCCAAGCGTTCAACACCTGATTCTTGCTAGTTCTTTAAGGGTCAAAAGTTTCCATAATAAAAAACCAAAATAGAAACTCATTTACTCAAGGAGAAAAAATTCTAACTAGGTAACACTTTTTACTTATCAGAAGTTTGCCAACAATTTGGTAAAAGCACAGGAAAACAGGCACTCTCGGAAACTTCTAGGGAGAGGATAAACAGGCAGCCTCTAGGGAAAGCAATCTGACAATGTTTATGAAAGTTTCAAATGCACATACCTCTGAGGGAGTAATCCCACATTCAGGAAAATGTCCGGTATATACAGTCATACAGACACAGAATGAGGCACATATGGGACAATTCATGCTAACACTGGTTGGCACGGCATAGACGAGAAACAACCTACTAGCTTTGGCTAATGAGTTATAGAACAGTCATATAAACAAACTCTCAGAAGCCCTAAACGAGGAAAAGGAAGTACTGTAAAGATATAGAAATCTCCCTAAGGTATAAATTTTTAAAAGCAAGGTATGGACAGAACTATAACAAGCTGCCATTTATACAAAAAAATGGGGAGGCTAGTGGACAAACATAGGAAGGTGACATTTCTATGTCCTTTGGCACTTTTTGAATTTGAAACCATGTAACTCCCATCTCAAACCAAAAAGAAAATCTCATTTTAAAAAAACCCCACCCTTTAGAATGAACTCCTAATCCAGTAGGAACACTTGTTACTCCTGCTACACTTGCTAACTGGGTGGAAGGCCTTACTTCAAGCAAAGATCGAGTTCAAGAAATTCTTATTATCTTAAAGGGCACAGTAAAATATGGCAAACATAGGTACTCTAGAGCAGAAGATCATCTAATTAGTGGTTTTCAATGCTGGTTATGCTTAAGAATAACCTGGGAATCTTCTAAAAATACCAGTGCCCTGCACCCCACCCCCAGACCATCTACATAAGTTTGGGGGATGGGACCCAGGCATGAAAACCACGGATATAAATGCTTTACAGCAGTGGTCTTCCACAAAGCCTGGTTTCCCCCCCCACCTCCCCCAGAGGACATGGGGCTGTCTGGGGACACTGGGTTGTCCCAGCTGGTGCCGTCTCGTAGGTACTGGCATCTAGTGGGTTGAGGCCGGTGATGCTGCCTTAGTAAACCTCCAACTGTGCTCAGAACACACCCCCAACCATGACCTGTCCCCAGATATCAAGAGTGTTGAGAATGAGAAACCCTTCTTTAAAATAAAATCACTGGGGCACCTGGGTGGCTCAGTGGGTTAAAGCCTCTGCCTTCCGTTCAGGTCATGATCCCAGGGTCCTGGGATCGAGCCCCGAGTCGGGCTCTCTGCTCAGCGGGGAGCCTGCTTCCCTTCCTCTCTCTGCCTACTTGTGTCTACTACTACTGTCTGTCCAATGGATAAATAAAATCTTTAAAAAATAATAATAAATAATAAAATCACTGCTTCTGAAGTAACAACCAGTTTTCATCCTCACTTAAATAGGAAGATAATCTCCTTATTTTACTAGTGTGGATAGATTAGTATAATAAAGCTATTTCAGTGGCCATAGAAACTACAATTTATTTGTTAACATTCTTATAAAGAATACCGAGACACCGAATTCCATGTACATGCTTTCTTTGGTCCCTGTCCAAAATATGGTCAGTCAAAAATTTATGTCCTGTTTGTAAGACAGTGAGGGAGAAAATCTGAAAGGTCACCAAGTGGCAGCCTAGAGGTCAATATGGTCCACATGTCCACTTTGTTTGAGCCTCAGGTCTTTTCAAATACACTGAATTGTAGCCGCTCACCTGCCCCTTCTGGAGCCAGCACATACCTTCTGCAGTCTGCCACGGTCCACACATAGCTGGCTTCACGTGGTCATCTGCTGCTCCCCAGCTGGTCCTTTAAGCATTGGAGGTGGCCTTCATCTGCCATTTTCAACAACCACGAAGGGGCATAATGCCTCTCACCTTAAAAATATCCCAACATCCATTCTAAATTCTCAAACTCCTACACTGCCTTCCACAAAAAAACTATCAAGAGCTAGAAGAACTAAAAGAAAGGTAGAAGTCGAGATGTGTGACAACACTCTTCTTCCAGTTGTTGTCATTAAACACAGGCTGCCCGCCACCTGTCTCTGGATATTACAAACTAGGCTTGTAGTTTCTAGCAAATTCCACTACAATTATATATAGCTCTTCTGTGTGCTTCCTTATAAGGGAAAAACTTCAATTATTAGGCTTCTTCCATTATCCTAGATTAGTATATCCCTCCACCTCTCCCAAAATAGGTCAGAAGCCTTTTATGGGAAATACCTATCAGGAGATTTGGTAATTTTTTTTTTCAGAAGTTCATCCCTTTTCCTTTGAAACTACAATCACACAGTTCAGGAGTTGTGTTTTAGAGATTACCTGATACAATCCACACGTTTTTTTTAATGAGGAAAATGAACCCCAGTGAGGTTCACTCAGCCAAGGCCACACTCTTGAGTTAGTGGCAGAGCAAAAATTAGAACACATTTCCAGATACTGGTCCCATGGGTTTTCCATGATAACACTATCTCCCACTGTGGTTTTCCCACTCAAGTAACATTCTTGCCAAGACACCTATTAACATGGGTAGATACTAGCTTGCTGTAGACCTAAATCAACTGAAATTTCGCCAAGCTAGCAGAGCTATTATGTCAATTTTGAGGGTGGAAGAAATTAGGAATTTCTGGATTCCTTTTGCTCCTTTTACTGTGAATTAACCTAAGTTGTTTAGGTCATGAAGCTGATACCTTCAGAGTCTTCTCTAAACCATAAACTGGAGATGGAAAACATGCTATTTACAGCAACGGTGACATTTTCTTTCTAAACCCTGAAGTCAGGAGTTGCTTCAAACCTCTAAAATGTCAAAAGTGGCCAGAGATGGTTAACTACTGAAAAGCTTCCAGGAGTGCAGTTTCAGATGCAAAGATCAACATCTCATTGAATTTTGACTCTCTTCATCAATCCCCAACAAAGCGGGTTCTTAAAATTTAATTTGGTCTCCACTGTAACCTAGTCCTCTCTTCCTATCCCCACTTTGTCAGTATAGGCAACATCACATTTTGCATCTCTGATCTTCCTGGAGTGTCCTACCTCCTCTGCATTTTTAGTTTTTATTCCTATCCGGATACCGTCCCTTTACATTTACATAAAATTCATTACAGGAAGGGACTCCCATTATGTTCCCTTGAGAGCTTAGAACATCTCTGCTGCTCCATTCGATTCCCCTTCAAGGATGCTCAACTCCACTCAGATATCTGGGTGCGCACTTGGCTTTCGTTGTCAGGTGGTTCACAACCAGCTCCCTCGCCTTCAGCAACTCTAAGTATTCGCTCCGTGGCTGAAAGGCGCCGCTCTGGGGAAACAGGATCCCGTGAGCAGAAGGTGGTGGAATCTATTTCCATGTCAGCTAGGCCTCTCCGGGAAGGGGAGGGCCGGGTCTTCCGCGCTCCCACCTCAATCCGGGTCAGCTGCCCATCAGCCCACTGGACCGGGAAGAAGGTGGTGGGACACAAAAGGGGAGGCGCGACTAAAGGTGCTGGCCCCGAGATCGCGGGTGTATGAGACCCTGCTCTGACGCTAGGAGCCCACGCGTCCTCTCCTCCCCAGCATCTAAAGCGTTTGTACTCCAGGCCTCTAACTGCTTTAACATTACACGAAAAGGACAACAGTTCGAGTCCTTCCGCTCCAGGCACACGGGAGCACCTTACGGCAAAAAAGGAACAAAATGCCACTGCGTAATTTATTCGACCTCAAGGTGTTTCTAAACAGCTCTTACCCAACAACAAAAGAATCTACAAATAAAAACATTAAAAAGCTACACCCACATTCCGCTACTAAGTTTTAAGGACGGTGAGGTCTGTGTCAAGTAGATTTGAAGCTACCGAAGCAGGTCTGGGGAGTCCCGCCCGGATGAGGGTCCTCGGACGCGGTTTCCGTGTTTCCAGGTAAAGCCCAGGCCGGTGTGCGGGTGCCAGGCCCTGCCCGCTCCGCTCCCCGAAATTCGAGTCCCCGGGAGAGTCCCCGGGCATCCTGGAGCCCCGCCTGCGGTTCCCACGGACTTTGCCCCGAGCTACGGAGACCCGCGGCGGCGGCCCCGGAAGGCAGCGGCCCCGCGTCCCGGGGCTGTGGGGACCGTACCGACCGCAGGGGCCCGCGGCCCCGCACTCACCGAAGTCTAGGAACTGCTTGATGGAGAGTGGCGATGGCGAGAAACGCGAGTAGCGTTCGATCTGCTTAGGCACCGGCTGCTTCAGCAGCCACCGGAAAAGCCGCATCCTCGTCGAGGCCGCGCACAGACCAGCCGAGACGCTCAGGCAGCCGCACGAGACGTTGCAGCCGAGCCACGCGGATCCCGCACGTCAGCCGAGCTCGCACCTCGGCCTCCGCCTCGGCCTTGGCGCCGCGGGTGCAGCCGCCGCAACAGCAGCAGCAGCTCCCGGGCCGCGGCCGGCCGCCCGCGGCTTCCCCAGGCCCCGCCTACGGGGGCGGAGCCGGTCGCCGCACGTACGCGGCGCACGGAGGGCGCGGGGGATACGGGGGGCGCGCGGGCGCACGCGCCGGCCGCTGATTCGCCGCCGCCGCTCTCGCTTTCTTTTGCTTGAGTTCGCCCAGATGCCGGCGCCTCCCTCCTCTGCTCCTGGGCCTGAGCCCCTCCCCGTAACTGCCGCAGCCCTGCGTACCGCTTCCCCACGCTAAGTCCTTCTCGGCCCGAAGGTAGCGAAGGTGCCGTCGGACCGCGAGGAGGTCCGAAGTGCACGCCCGGAATCCAGCCCTACGCCTTGTTTAAGGCGCCGCTCAACGGAGGCACCTCTTCCGGGAGGCCTTCCCTGGATGGGCTGGCTACGGCCCTTCACGATCTCATTACATCTTGATACTTTGGTTTTCACGTCCCTTTTACCACTTAACTATAGTGGCCGTTTCATGCGTGCCACCACACGACCACCTTGGGCAGAATCAAATGTGGTTATGTTTCACGCCTGCCTCCCACCCGCTGGACAGGCTTAATTGTCACGTCACTGTTGACTCTGTTACGTGGCCCACGGTACCGCCTCCACCCCCAGCCCACCTCCACCTTAAGCCCTCACCCTTTTGAACACCTTTGGGCAGGAATGTTAGGCCACTCGCTCTGTTTCGCAGCCCCACCATCTTCCCACCTGAGGCCACCATCTTTGGACAAGATTAAGTCATTGCCTCTGTTTCATGCCACCACAACCACCGTTGGACAGTATCAATTCTAACATCACTGACACTGGGTTTCAGGCCCCCTACCCCCATATTCCCTCTCACACCAAATGGCTGTTTCATACCACCACTACCATCGGAAAGGATCAGATTAAAGGTCATTGGCATTATCTTTCATATCCCCTCACTCACCATCACACCACCACCACCACCATAGGACAGCTCCCTGACTCTTTAATGCTTCACCAACCTCCAGCACCACAACATTTGGATAGGAGTCTATGCTTGCACTAGGTGTTGAGTATTTTTTTCTCTGCATACCAGTGACCTTGAACTCAGGGCTCAGTATATGAAATCATGATTTCCTAATGGGGGTGGATGAAGTACTGCTGACTTCAACCATTTTCACGAAAACTTGCTTTATTTTTGGCAACATATAAACATCAAGTAAAAGGAAAAGTGGAATGTTCTCTAAGGAAAGGTAAAAATGTAACTGGAGACCAATCTTGTGATCTGATTAGGCTGGTTTTCTCACTGAATAAAATTATCAGTGTGTAGCTATTGAACTTTTGTGCCTTTATTGGGTATTTGTGCACCCAATTCTTTGCTTACTAGTTGTATCTTTATTCTGAATTTAAAGAGAAGTAATACATACACTCAAATGCATCCAGGGGCGTGCCTACACTTCTAGATTTTCAAATACATCTTGGTCATCGTGGTGGTGGTATGATACATTACCACGTCCTCTCCATTCAAACCAAAACCTAAAAGAGATGTACTGACAACCTCTTTAGCTGGGTATTTTGCCAGCAGAGCTAAGCAATCCTGTTAGTGCAGATGGGCAGACAAAAAGAAGACCTGTAGCCTGTGATTCTTCCAGTGACTTTTGCAGGTGCGACTCGGATGTTAGAGTGTACTTGGTGACAGTGGTGGTAGTCAGGAAAAAGGAAGGTTCCCCCAACCTAAGCTGCTGGTCTGTCTGAGCCAGCACATCACTTGTTTCATTCCTTTCTCTGCCAGTGAACACAATCTGTGTATTCTATTGATTTGATCACGTCACCTGTCATGTGATTAGTTCTACTGATGCTTCTCCAAAAGGTGGCAAAGTCCTAGAAGTGGGACACAATACGAGAGAGTCTGGTGTGATGTAAATTGCACTGGTCCAGGGCTCAAAAGGCCCAGTCCTAAGCTCTGTTCTATCATTAACTGGCTGTGTGGTCTTAGACAAGTCACTTAGACTTTCTCTGTCCCAGTTACTTCGTATGTCGGATGGAGATACCTGATCACTCTCCCTGGCATCTGTGACAATCAAATGAAATCAATCCCATCTAATATAGACTTAAAATATTGTTCTACCTCTTTCATACAGCAATACACATTTTTAAGCTAATAGTCTCATGCAAACTGGCAAAATCCAGAGTTAAACCAGTGAGTTGATTTCAGTACTGCTTATAGCTGTAAGAGAAGGATCTTGAAAGAAATAGATCTTGATGAACTTTTTTCAATTCCTTGCACACACCAAAGTTTCCCCGGGCCCCCTCCCAGAGACTCTCAAAGCAAGATCCCTGGACCACCAGCAGGAACATCACCTGGGAACTTGCTAGAAATACAAACTCCGGGATTCCACCCCAGACCTACTGAATGAAAACCTGCGGGGGTGGGTCCCGGCCATCTGTGGTTTAACAAGCTTTGAGGGTTTTTAAAGACCTGGCCACAAATTCTTTGATATTCCTTCCTCCAAGAGATGGAGTTTAATTCTTCTTCCTTTGAGTGTGGGCTTGATTTAGTCCTCACTTCCAACAGAGGATGACCAGAAGTGGTAAGATCTCACTTCAAAGATTAGGTTATAAAACAACTTCACTCTTACAAATACCTGACCAGTACTCCTCAAACTATCAAGGCCATTAAAAACAAGAAACATCTGGGGTGCCTGGGTGGCTCAGTGGGTTAAAGCCTCTGCCTTCAGCTCAGGTCATGATCTCAGACTCCTGGGATCGAGCCCCACATCGGGCTCTCTGCTCAGCAAGCAGCCTGCTTCCTCCTCTCTCTCTGCCTGCCTCTCTGCCTACTTGTAATCTCTGTCTGTCAAATAAATAAATAAAATCTTAAAAAAAAAAACTTTAAAAACAAGGAACATCTGAGAAACCATGACAATCAAGAGGAGCCTATGGAGGCGTGACAACGTGCTATCCTGGATGGGATTCTGGAACCGATAAAAGGACACTAAATTAAAACTACAGAATTGGTTTTTTTTTAAGATTTTATTTATTTATGTGACACACAGGGAGAGTACAAGCAGGGGGAGCGGCACGCAGAGGCAGAGGGAGAGGGAGAAGCAGGCTTCCCGCTGAGCAGGGAGCCCGACGTGAGTTTCAATCCTGGGACCACAGATTCATGACCTGAACCAAAGGCAGCCGACTTAACCGACTGAGCCACCGAGGCACCCCAAAACTACAGGATTCTTAATAAAAGATAAACTTTGGACCAAATGTGTTTAATGATAATATATCAATGTTCACAAATTTAATAAATCTATCATATAAGGCAAGATATTAATAGTAGGGGAAATGGAGCATAGGGCATATGGGAACATTGTGTACTATCTTCTCAGTTTTGCTGTAAATCTGAAACTGTTGAAAAAAATAAAGCCAATTATAACACATAGTATTACCTATGGTCATCATGTTGTACATTATATCCCCAGAACTTATTTTAACTTATAAGTAGGATTTCTGAAAGTTGTTAAGAGTTGTTAAAAGTTTTTATTGAAAGGGGGAAGAATTGTAACTATGTGAGTTGATGGGTGTGAACTAAATATATTGTGGTAATCATCTGGCAATATATACATATACCAAAATCATTATGTTGTACACCTTAAACTTATACGATGTTATATGTCAATTATTTCTCAATAAAACAGGGGAGAAAGCAGTACCTTTTGGTTACAAGATGTAAAATGTAAAATTCAAAGATAACATATAAGATATTAAATAAAAATACTTTATAACCCTAGAATAACTCCTGAACATTTAAAGAACATGCATTATTAAAAAAATAATAATGTGAACATTAAAAAAACGACTTCCCTCTTGGGGTTTTTCTCTCTCTTCTTTCTTCTCTGCTGCAAGGCAGCCCTGTGGAAGCCCACGGGAGCGAGCCTGAAAGCAGATTCCTCCTCAGGCACCTGGACTGTAACCTTGTGACAGGCTCTGAGCCACTACCAGTCAGCTACGTGGCTCCTGGACTTCTGACCCACAGAAACTCTCATGGTTTGGTATAATAAATGTTCATTGTTTCCAGCTATTCTGTTTTTGGATACTTTGTCATGCAGTAATAGTCGACTCCTCCGCATGCTTCAAGGGTGACTCTGACTCACATTCAAGTGCGAGAACTGCCGTCCTACCCTGTGCACTCTCACCCAGCTCCCTGTTCCAGAAGATCTCCACAGCCACATCACTTCGAAAACAAGGGAGGCCTTCCCTGACCAGGAAGGCAATTTGTTCCCCTTGCTATATACTGTTTCTTGATTCTGTGAACTTCTCGCTGTAACACTCAAAACTGTTCGAATTTCGTAAAGGTCTCTCTTCCGCCCTAGACACAATACCTGTGATGGCTGAGCCCAAGTCTAGCCTCTCTGCTGCTCCGCTGCCCTGTCCGGCATCAGTACCACTCACTAGGTCCACAACAGATAATCTTTATAGAAAAGAAAACCAGGAATAGGAACAATAAAACTACCCCAAATCACATTCCTTCCTGTCAGCTCCCAGTGAGGAACAAAGGCAAGGGTAGTATTCTGAGTAATTTGAGCAATAATGGGCATTTTATTGAATCATAATTTGATAAAGCCTAAAGCCCAAGTGAAGTAGAATAGATGAGGGGAAAAAATAAACCCTGATTGTCTCATCAATCACTAGCAGGTGGGTCTTGTTAGAAAACACCTCCACCGGCATTTGACTTGGCTATGAATTCCTGGTCTCCTTGTGTTTCCCTCCTCCTTTCTTTACTTCAACTGACATATTTTTAGAAGCGCCCACCATGTGCTCTGGAAAAGGACCTATGTTTGTCTATTCACGTAAATCTGATGGAGGAATCATATCCTCATTTTACAGGTAAGTAAACTAAGACGGAGACAGGTTAAAATAATTTTAAGATAACACAGCTTGTACAGGGCAGTCCAAATTTGAATCCGGGTCTCCTGACTCTCAATTCTACGTTCCTTGATACCAGTCTGCATTTTTTAAATAGACTTTATTTTTAATTTTT